AAAGGCTTTTCATTTCTGCTGCGTGAATTTACAAAATGTTATATTTCCCCATTATGTACCTTGTTCGCACTGCAGTTGTACATATTAGTTACCTCGGCGAACAGCCATTTTTATTATTTTTTTTTTTTTAAACGTTTAGCCACGAACACAATGAAGACAGACAATTTTGTTAACATGTCTCGAGTGGGTAGCAACGTAACAACGGATTGGAGAAAAATGGAAAGTACATCGAAATATTATCGTAACTGCAGTTTTGCATTTTCCAAAATGTCCCATTCTGTATACACTTTGCAATTTTCGCTCTTACTAAATGGGCTTTACATTTTCGCTAGCCATTAAAAAAAAAAAAAAAAAAAAAATTCCGTTCAGGTAAATTCATGCAGAATGCTAAAATGGCTTTGTTGCTATCAGACGTATGGCCTTTTTTCACGTGGTTGATCGCAACACATGTTTAACTATTCTTTGCAACAAGTGTACTACTTGTAAGCTTTCATGTGACATTATGTTCTCATATTCACCTGAACGGTCAGGCGATTTTTCACTTTTTCACATGCTTATACGTGTATAATGTGGAAAAAAAAAAAAAAATCTAGCCTTTTAAAAGAGAACTTGGTTTGGTACGGGGAATAAAAAAAATATCAGCATAGAAAAAAAGTGCCACTTAATGTGTATCGTATAATTCGAAGAAATCGATGCATTTCTGGGAAGAAGAAATGTTTAAATTTACAAGGCAAAAGGTAGGCGCGAAGAAAGTAAATGCACAAAGCACAAACTATTTTTTCGCCATTCCTCTTTTGCTCTCTTGTAATTGTTCGTTCACCTGCCGCTTATTAATTTTTCCTTTTTGCGATAGAGCCGCTAACACTTGCTGCCCATAATCCGCTGCGTGTGCACCCTCTCCACTGAAGCACGAATTGCCACAATATGGAACCCCCTACAGTATATGAGCACGTTAAATATATATGCAAATGTGCTCTCATTTTACATACGCATTTATGCACAATACGCGGTTAGTGAAAAGGGTACAAAACTGTGAACGCAAAATTCGTTTCTTCTGGGAAAAAACGAAAACAAGGCATTTTTCACTATTGGAGGAAAAAGTTAAATATAACGTAAAAAAATGTGAACAAGTGTAAAAAAAAAAAACTGAACAAGCGTAAAAAAAAAAGCGTGAACAAATGTTAAAAAAAAAGCAAAAACCAAACCACAGAACGGCAAGGAATTGCAGTACACACCCCTGCGCCTTGAAAGGAACGCAAAAGAAACATTAATATATTCGCACGCGCTCGCCACGCGACGCAACGTATTACATGCGCTCAATTGTACACTTAATTACTACATGTGTAAATATATACCCTTAAATTGTACACTTAATTACACATGTAAATATATACTCTTAATTGTACACTTAAATATACTTACAAACAAGAAAAACAAATTTTAAAAAAAAACAAGCAAAACAAAATCCTCAGTTGCAGTTCATTTTAGCCAATTTCAGTTTTAACATCCTTAACTGTTGCTTCATGATTTTTACATCAAGCGTTTGCCACATTTTACGTCGCACGTGCGCCACATTTTTTCCCTCTGTTATTTAATTTTTCCTATCCCCTTTTTTTTTCGTTTTTGCTCTTTTTTTTCTTCCAAATGCGTGTAAAATTGAACATTTTTTTTTTTTTTCAATACGTATACATGTTAAACTCCTGAAGCAGAAATATGTATAAATTATTTTTTTTTTTTTTCTTGCTATAGTGAATTATCTGTTGTGTTTGCGCGCATAATTTTTATATGCAGTCCCCCGTACGCCAATACGAGTCAGTAAACCATCCATCCAACAAACCAACTAACCAGCCAGTTTTTTTTTTTTTTTTTTTTTTTTTTTTTTTTTTTTCCCCATTTTTTTTTTTTTTTTTTTTTTTTTTTTTTTTTTTCACCGAATGTTCATATTTTTTGCGAAATTGTTTTTTTTTTTGCCCCATGCTCAAGCGATAAAATATAAAACTATTTAATTTCCTTTTTTATTTTTATTTCATTTCTTTCCTTCCTTTTTTTATTTTTTTTTTTTGCTGATTGTTAACTTAAGCGAAATGCAATTTATGTGAAATGTAATTTCTGTAAAATTCAAATTAGCGCATAAAATTTATTCATTATATATCTTTTTATCACTCGTTATTAGAACGAATTTTTATATTGCGTCACCTTTTTTGTACGACAAAATATCAGTAAAGCTAAGTATACGTATACGCGCACGTACGTACACACACACACACACGCACGCACACACGGCAGCACGCATATTTGCCTGTACCCATTTATTCCCTTTATACGACAGATCACTGCTGGTACGCCCAGTTTTATCCTGAAAAAACAAAAAAAAAAAAAAAAACAGGGAAAAAAACCTCCTTTTTTGTTTTTTACGCCTTTCCCTTTTTCAAACCTCTTCTGAACAAAATGGGTGACGAGGAAGTTCAAGCTTTAGTTGTTGACAACGGTTCAGGTAATGTAAAGGCTGGGGTTGCAGGAGATGACGCACCCCGTTCAGTTTTCCCAAGTATAGTTGGTAGGCCAAAGAATCCAGGAATTATGGTAGGCATGGAAGAGAAGGATGCATTTGTTGGTGATGAAGCACAAACGAAAAGAGGTATTTTGACTTTAAAATATCCTATAGAACATGGGATAGTGACCAACTGGGATGATATGGAAAAGATATGGCACCACACTTTTTATAATGAACTGAGAGCTGCACCAGAAGAACACCCAGTGTTATTAACAGAGGCCCCCTTAAACCCAAAGGGAAATCGTGAAAGGATGACCCAAATTATGTTCGAGTCATTTAACGTACCAGCAATGTATGTAGCCATCCAAGCAGTGTTATCTTTGTATTCCTCTGGTAGAACAACAGGTATCGTCTTAGATAGTGGTGATGGAGTTTCCCACACGGTCCCCATTTATGAAGGATATGCATTGCCACATGCCATTATGAGATTGGATTTAGCAGGACGAGATTTAACTGAATACTTAATGAAGATTCTTCACGAGAGAGGATATGGATTTTCAACATCCGCTGAAAAGGAAATTGTGAGAGACATCAAAGAGAAGTTATGTTACATTGCCTTAAATTTCGATGAAGAAATGAAGACCTCCGAGCAGAGTAGTGACATAGAAAAGTCATATGAATTACCTGATGGAAATATTATCACTGTTGGAAATGAAAGGTTCAGATGTCCAGAGGCCCTTTTCCAGCCATCCTTCCTGGGAAAAGAAGCAGCAGGAATTCACACCACCACTTTTAACTCGATTAAAAAATGCGATGTTGATATTCGTAAAGATTTGTATGGAAATATTGTGTTGTCTGGTGGTACAACCATGTATGAGGGCATTGGGGAGAGGCTTACCAGGGACATCACCACCTTGGCTCCATCCACAATGAAGATTAAAGTGGTGGCCCCCCCTGAGAGGAAATACTCCGTGTGGATCGGAGGATCCATCCTGTCGTCGTTGTCCACCTTCCAGCAGATGTGGATCACCAAGGAGGAGTACGACGAGTCGGGCCCCAGCATCGTCCACAGAAAATGTTTCTGAGCGGCGTGGGCGTGTTGGAAGAAGAGCAGAAAAGGGAGCAACGTGGCCAACTGAGCGAAACGGGCCAAATGGGCCAAATGAAAGGAGAACGGTGAAGACGGCGCGCAGAGCAAAATTGAGCAAAGAGAGGAAGGCCACAACTACTCAGCAGGTCAAAACATACGTAAAGCAACGCGTACATTCACGTATACATCTATATGCGTAGGCAAACGCACTTGTGTGTATTTTATTTTATTTTTTTTTGGGTTTATGTGCCTTACGCGCACCACAGGAGTACCCCCTTGGTGCATGCTTCAACCCCCTTGATTAAAAAAAAAAAAAATAATAAAAATAATAAAAATAACAGAAAAAAAAAAAAAAAAAAAAAAAAAAAAAAA